CATCAAATTAGCGTGCTAGCGTTAACGATGAACGCATCTGTTTCTGTGTGTGTCAAGGTGTGCGTGTGTGTGTGTTAAGGTGTGTGTGTGTTAAGGTGTGTGTGTGTGTGTGAGTCTAAGTGTGAGTGAGTGTTAGCTGCATATACAAGATTGCACTGTGGGATATTTCGCACTTTGCACTGGCAGCTCAATGCTGTTCTCAATTTGCTACCTGAACCGTCTGGCACGTCTAACTGAGCGACCAACTGACTGACAAACAGACGAACTGACGCAATAACGAACTGACAAACTAACAGACGTGCCAACTTGATTTATTTAACCAGCTTATTGCATCTGTGCGTTGTGGTTCATTATGCCCATTACAAATTGGAAAGAGGGTATAATGAAGTTGTGCAAAAGTATGTAAGAGGTAGAAGAAAGCATCTGCGACTTGATAGATATATATTTCTGATCAGCATCAACAGCCGAGTCGATTAATCGATGTTCTTCTGTCTGTCTATCTATAAAAACTAGAGACTCAGCTTTCCTATATAAATATAAACTTCCAAGTAATATCAAATTGACCCTGACATATTATTGATCAACTGTAAAAATATCATTAAGATCGCATAAGAAAAGCAGATTCTATCAGATTACCAAAATGTATTTTCATAATGAATAAACTACTTTCAGCAAGCCGATTATTTACCTAACAGAGTATCTATTAGTCGAGCTGTCCTGTCCAGAGTATCCAATCATAAAAATCATAAAGTGGAAAGTTATTCAATCGTATAAATTAAAGCTTAACCAAAACACAAAACTGACGGCTTGAAAATTCTTTTTAGCCATGTGGACAACTTTAGTAAGCTGGCCAAACATGCGTTGCAAGCACTATGAAATGTGCCAAGCAACTATTAACCAATCCAATGTCTGGTTACAGGCTATCTTCTAGTCGGGCACTCTTTTGCTAACTGGTTTTTATCTGCATTTGCATTTGCATGCCCGATGCAAGTGCTGCAAAGCCTTGACTCTTATCTAACTTAAACAGCGCTCTTCTCTGACTTTGGCACTTGATCCACACACACACACAATAGGCACACACACAATACACACGCACAGCAGAGCAATCACACACTGGGAGACAACGAATGCCGTATAAATGTATAAACTGAGCGTCATAAATACTCCCGTCGTTTAGTTTTTACGATTGTCGGCTGTCTTTGTTAGCTATAGACACACACACACACACACACACATACACATACACAACACACACATACACAGAGTCCGACACATCCTGAGCTACAAGTTCCAAGTATCTTTCAACGTATCTAAATGCACATACACAGAGAAAAAATAATAAACAGTCGCAGTTTAGTTTAAGTTCTTACTTCAAATTTTAAGTAAGTCGAGCATAAAATTCTAATAATTCTTTTAAAAACAATCCAAGCATACCGAAACGCATTGATTCGAGTACGTTTTTCGCTCTGTGTACAAGTAAAATGCCGCTGAAGAGTTGAAGTGCCAACCAAAGACCAGAGACCAGAGACCCAGAGCTATTCGCTGAGAGCTGTGCCGACAACAGCCTCCTGCTAAGATCTGCGAGGCGAGACTCCTGCGTACTGTACCCCGACAACAACAACAACAACAACAACTGCAACAACAGCAACAACAGGAACAACAACAGCCACCAATGAATGCCAAATACCAAAAACAGGTCCCCGCCAGGGCCAAAGTTTGCGTGCCTTGCAGACATTTTTATGGTTTCTGCTCCCCACCCAAAAAAAATAATACATATATACATATATATATATATATATATATATATATATATATATACACAAAAGAAGTACCAAAGAGAGCATTTATGAGCTCAGGTAGACGTCCTAAAATTTGAGTCTGCATTTTGGCCAGAACTTCAGCTAACTTTAATATATACATATGCACACACACACACATACATATATTGCAGTCGAAAGCGGTTTAAAAATGCTCTTAGAACCATTTCAATAATTTGCTCTTTTTTATGGCCAAATAACATTTAATGGCTAATTGTAAATTTGTTTGCAACAGAAACATTTAAGTATTTAAGTATTTTAAACTAATACGATTTTAAACTAACTTGATTGTTTTTGTTTTTTTTTTTGGTAACAAGAATGTATTTTTTGGATTTTGATTAGCATTTCTCGGTAGAAATTTTACTTGGAGAAAGATTAGGTCGAGCTGTAGCCGGAATATATAACTTATAGAAACTAATCTGCGCACCGTTTAAACAGACATGTAAATGTGCATAGTTAGACGACTTTTAAGTTAAAAAACATGCCCGATTATATAGCGTTAGTTTACTTAGAAAACGGAACTAAGACTTTCAAACAGGATCTCCATAGTAACAATGATATCTAAGACTATAGAAATTTGGTAATATCTATACGAAAGTGTTGCTTACTCATCAGGCAATCAGGTAATCAGCTTTTTGTGCCACTTTTCCGAAAGCCCCAAATTTACGTCTGTAAGTCTCCCCAAAGAAACAAAGACAAAGAGCTGCAGAGTCATATTTTTCTGAGAGATACCTATATAATGAGAGGGTCTGAGATAGAGAGATATAGAGAAAGAGAGAGAGAGAGAGGCGGGGGCGATTGAGAGTGAGAGCGAGCGATGACGAAATTACTTTCATTTTCACGCTCATAAACGTGGCTTACAAAATGGTTGTCATAAAAAGAGAGGCAAGTTAAGCCGCTTAAATGACATTTAAATAAATAAAGAACTGGCCACAAGACAAATGAGGAAAGGTAAAAGCTTAAAAAAAAAAACAAAAAGAGTACAAAAAGACGGGCCCTTTCACTCGGTCCGCGAAGGCAGACACAGGAAGTTTGCACTTTAGTTTCAGACTCCCAAAAACGAGAGAGAGACAGCAAGAGAGATAGAGAGAGGCAGACAGAATCAGAGAATCAGAGAGCACACGTCTGGCAGTGATTAGACTATAATCTCGTTATAATGAGGCAAACAGAATATATATATCCAGCGGATGTGCCGAGCGTGCTCCGAGTGGATAGTGGAAAGCGTTAAGCTGCGGTTGACATCCTGAATGCCCCAGCTGGGCAGCAATTGCTCAAGTGGAGGTGCACAGATTGAGTTACCCTAAGAGACACACACGATACACAGAAAGAAATATGGCGTGAGTATACAAAATGAACTTTAAATTAATCACAACAACAAAAAACATATACAAACCACAAAAATGTATTGAGCAACAACCAGAAAGTGGTACGAAATATTTATTTATTTTCGAGTTCAAACCCCAATAAAATAAAACAAACTTTAAATAAATATATATTTAGATTCCAAATACTCAACTTGGACCAAGCAGAAGAAGCTTTTATAGAAGCATTAAAGTCAAATAACTAAAATGAAGTAAGAAATATTTATTGCAAGTTCGAATTCATGTTAAACCACTAAAATATTTAATGTAAAATCGTATTTTAAATTAAGATCTAAAATATGAGTACTAAATACACAGCTGGTAGTCTTTAGTCAATCAAGATGTGCTTTTTGTCGCAGTGCAGACCATATTATGCATGGGAAGGAGGAAGACTGGAAACAAAAGACACAAGACACAAAAACCAAAAAGAAGAGCAGACAACAAATGCACTTGTTGGAAGCAGTTTTTGAAATATGATGCCAAGCAGCCGCCACGCCAAGGCGCAGGTCATAAACAACCCAAAAGACAAGCGGACACGAGACGGCCAAAGTGTTGCAAGATAAGGTTAGATAAGCGCCGCCCCAGCATATATATATACAGTACCTGAGACGGACGGATTTTTGAATGGCACCAAGATGGAAACGGAGATGGAGATGGAATTGGAGTTTGAGTTTAAATTGAAGTTCAGGCTGCATTCGAATTCGAGTGCGGCAATTCTCAAAAGCAAACGACGACTTTGAATAACCCGAAAACGAGCTGAAACTGATAAGCGGCACTCATCGAATGGAAGGGGTTTCAAAAACCGTCAAGGTGTAATAGATACACATGTGTGTGCCAGTGTCTGTCTGTGTGTGGTATGAGTGTGAGTGTGTACTTCCATATTTACATATGCTCAAGATAGAAATGCACAAATGCATTAAGAAATAGTTGACAATAAAAAGAAAGACAAAAAAAAACAGCAGTCAGAGACAGATAAAGAAAAGTGCATCCGATTGTGGAAAATTACAAGAAGGGGAATGTAAGAATGGGAAATGGGGAAGAATCCATCTGCAGACACACTCTGAATATATACATTTTTATTTAGTTAGTTGCAATAAAAACTATACTCGATTTTATTATTACTAAGAATATTACAATGAAAATTAACATTCTCAATATCAGAATTTCGAATCTTGATAAGTGCATCAAAAAATTCCTACAAGCCATTAATACTCTGGGGAAATCCGTTATATTTCTGATGAAACAGCGGTTAAAATAATAGTTTTGCTGCTCTATAAAACAAATAATTGGTCATTTCCTATAACCCCTTCTTTGATTCGATTAAGTTGATTGAGTAAAATAATAAATCAGTATACATTCCATATTAATATTTAAGTCGATTTATTTGATTTCTTGATTATATCATAATATAGCAATAAAAGCAAAATCAGGGCGAATTAAAAGTCATACATTTATGACGATATCAAAGGGGCGTGGCAAACATTGTGCTGCTCATTAGTGAGGTCTTATTAAAAAACTTCAATCTGCCAAAAAGTTCTCCTTTGCAGCAAAACAAATGCTGTCTTTTTCAACAACAATAATTAATAAAACAAATACTTTTACTTTTGGTCAAAGTTGTCTGATATTTTTGAAAAACTCATCTTTAGTTAAACCTCATATTATCTCTCATTAAAATAAATAGATTGCTCTGTGATTGATTTTCTATTTTAAACGATAAGGTCGAAGTCAAAAAATATACAACAAATTTTACTTGCAGAGGAAGGCTTTAACAGTGTATTTAATAATAGAATAACTTTCAATTTCGAGGCGTATTGAAACTCACCTGAATTTAGCTGAACACCCGGCAGAATAACCGACGATTCCGCTTTAAATCCAAGCATATCATCCGCATCGGAATTTGCTGCTGCTGCAACTCCAATGCTGCCTGTGGATAGCTTCTCGGCGCCCATGTCGAGAGTCGTGGCTGCATCGAGTTCCATGTCGATGAGAGTGTTGCCCTTGAAGAGACCCGCACTGCGGTATTCCTTGGCAAAGGGCGTGGCACCCAAAGCCGCCCCCAAGAGCATTGAAAGGATTCCGATTTGTCGGCAGATGTTGCACAACATTTTTTCACATTCGATGGCTTTGCTCGTCTCAAATACAACACAAACAATTTCTGTTTGAATTATTTAAAAGAGTGCCTCAATTAATATGGCACAACGACGACGGCGACGACGACGACGACGACAGCAAAACTAACAAATTGCAACCTTTTTCACAGCAAATTAGTTCAAGTCTTGACCGCGAGTCGAGACTGAGCAACAATTGCCGTAAAAATTCAATTACGTGTCGGCTTTTTGCCGCTGCCTTTGCCAGTTATAAAAAAATTATGTCACCAATTAGCGAAACTTTTAAATTGTTGGTTTTTACTTGTTAATTTTTTTTTAATTTATCGCGGTTTTTGGTTTTGTTTTTTTTTTAACACTGCAAAGATAAGAAAGGGAAAGCATCAATCACCTTATCGAAAAATCAATTTTGTGGGAAAATCAAGAAATGCCTTTAAATGTTTATCCACAGCCTATTTTATACTTAAATATATTATTTTGAACACATTTACATTGCTTATGATCCAGACTCCTTTTCCATACTTAAATATAGTACATAAGTATATAAACATTTACATTAATTTCTTTATTTTCTTGCTTGCACTGCTAAATTTATAAAGTTAAACCACAAAAACTTTTTAAGCGGAAATGACTAAGCAAAATTTCAAGTTTCGAAGATTGGAAATCAAATGGGTTAACGGAAATTCTTGCACATATTTGCAACAGCTGCTGTCGCAAATGTCACAGAGATTAAAACCGAAAATCAATCAAACATTCATATGTGAAGCGACATACAAATGTATGTGTGGCCCTGTGGCTGTGTGTTAATTTCCAGTACAATTTTCCATAAGCTGTTGGGCATGCGCGGCGGAAATACGTACAAATTTCCACAGTGAAAATGCGCGTAATAAAAATAATAAATGAATAACAACGGTAAACAAATTGCCCGGCAAAACTACCTGCACCCACAAAAACGCCCGCAAAACGCCCAAAAAGGGCGAAAGCAAAATCACGCACACACTCACACACACATATGAATAAATTAAAGCGCATTCAAACTGTCAATGGTGCGTGCACACACACACATGCACACATGCATATACACATACATGCGAGCATATGTAATGCGCCGTTAGCGCCGCTCATAAATGTCAATGTAAAATGTTGCTGCTGTTGTTGTTGTTGCTACTGCTGCCGGCACACATGTTGCGATCGCACTGTCTCTCTCTTTCTCTCTCTGTCTCACTTGCTATGCAGTCTGTCACTTTTTTGTGTTGGGAATAGATGCGACTGGAAGCGATCAATATGCTTATGCATGTGCATATGTGCGTGTGTGTGTTAATTCCCAAACACAAAACTCGTTTTGTCAAAATATTTTGCATTGAACAACAAAAAAAAGCCAAAGCAAACAAATAAGCAACGGTCTTAATATCCGGGCAGCAAGTAGAACAACAATAAAAGCAAACGCGCAAAATTGATGCCAGTTTTTGTTGTTGTTTATTTGCAGCACATAACACATAATTAATTTTTGCAATTCATACCTTTTATGGAACAATTAAGACACTTGAATTTTTAATATTGATATCCATATTTCATATTAGATAAACACACACAAAACACAGGAAACAATTTGTTGTAAATTCTCGACAATTTTGCGTGTATTTGACGGTAACGGTAAAATCGAGAAAAAACGTAGCGAAATTCCGCTTAACCAACCGCACACTTCGACAACGATCTTCACAATAACAATCCACAAATGTTGCACAACAATGTGCCCAGTCGCATATAGTGCGTAGCCTGGCAACATGTTTAAATTACCACTCGATAAGTGTCGTTGAGTTGCTTATACTTCTTATCGATAAGTTGTCTGCTGGCATGGTGAATTTGTTTTAAACATGAGGTGAGTTAAGTCTACGTTACTTTTTGAACTAGCTTGAAACTAAATTTTTCAGTTAGGCGAGTTCTTGAAAATTTCAAAGTTTTTGGGTATATTATTTATTTAGTTTATCAAGTTTAAAACGATACAAATATATAGAAAATTAAGACTAAATATTAAACAGAAATCTCAACTATTTTGCACTTACAGATAAGACTTTTAAGCAGTTATCATTTAAGCTGAGAAAACATCGATTTTATGAAGCTTACAGTTTAAATCGAATATACATTTTGAAAGAACGAACCTAAAATAGAAATGGCAATGAAAACTGGTACAAATTAAAACATATTCTCATTCATTAAATAAAATACTACAAATCCCAATTGTAAAAATTAAAACAAAAATTAACCGTCCATTTGACGGCGATGTTGCATTTGAAGCTCAAAGCGTCGATTGGAGCGCACGCCGCGAATCAGTTCGCTGCGCTTCTCCTTTGTGGCACCACGCCCACCCTTGAACATCTCCATGTGCCGCCGGCGACGTGCCTCAGTTTTATTACAATCTTGCAACGGCTCCGCGGCAGGTTTACTCGAAGTGGAAGCTGAGTTCAAAATCTTTGGAGCAGTTGTGGAAAAATTAAATACTGCTCGCGTTGCAGTTGTTGCTTTTTTTTCTGTTGCTGTTGCAATTTTTGTTGGTCTTTTTGTGGAAGTGTTTGTTTTAGTTTTTGTTGGAACAATTTTGCGTGGCGTTGGCAACCGTTTCTGTCGCTCCATTTCACCTGGCGTCATCGGCGACAAATAAATGCTCGGTAAATCAATCTTCTTTAGAGCTCGCGGCCGAGAACGTTCCTCATTTTTGTTGGATAACTTTTTAATTGTTGACGATATTGTTTGTTGTTGTTGTTGCTGTTGCAGTTGTTGTTGCTGTTGCAGTTTTTGTTGTTGTTGCTGTTTGAGTGCTGAGCTTGTTAGCATTTTGGCACGCAAAGCTTTGCGCTCGATGTGATCGACCAGATTCTCCATTTGGCCAAAATGCTTTTGATGTATGGCCGCAAAATCGGGTAGCTTTGTGCGTGTCTTCGACTTGCCACATGGTGTGGCAACTTTGACAACAGCAGCAGCAGCAACTGGAGCATATTGTTCTGCAACAATGAACAACATATTAAAGATCAGGCCGGAAACTAGTTATATTAATGGCAACTTACTCGGCCTGGGTATGCGGCTGATGTTAGGTCGCTTCTCATCCAAGGATTTCGAACGTTTGCGACGCTGGGTGACATCTGAATGATAGGAATACATATATAAAAATATATATAGAATTATCAGTATGGATATACGCACTGCTTGTGACCACAGGTGGCTCCCAGCGTTTGTCGATGTCTTCCACGCGAGTCACCTCGATGGGACTGAAGAAGGAGACACTTTTTGCCTTGTCATCGTTTGTCAGCCCCGACGCAGATTTGGAACGCTTGCGTGGACGACACTGCTCACTTAGCGATGTCAATAGACGTGCGTTCTCCATAGCGCTCCCAGCATCGATTGTAGGCAGTTCATTGAATTTAAAACTCGGATTGATTTTACGCTTGAAGGGTGTAGGGAAGCGATATCCTTCGGGTTTGCCTTCACTTTTGTTGTCATCAGCATTGCAGAGCCATGCAATGTGGTCAACACTCGCCATTGGATCCGCATCGAAAGTGCTGTTTAAAATGTTCTCATCGTCAGAGGGCATTACAAGTGGCAGCATTTCGAGATCATGATCATGATCCGCATTATCGTCATCTTTGAGCTGCTCGTCAGGCGGCAGCGGGCACAGGCCAAGTTCATCCATATCATCAGTGTTCAGTTTGGCTGTCTCCAAGATCAGATTTGGTCTTGTGGCCAGATTTGATTTAACCGAATCTTCGTTGGATTTAATGTGCCCTGCGACGTCTTCAACTCGTTCTATCTCCACATTTGATTGAGCTGCCTCCGAGATGGCTTTAGTATCTTCCAGCTCAGTTTCGAGCGCAGCTGTCGTAATTATAAGAAAAAGTTCTTAATAATATATTCATTTAATATATTTAAGTGTGAATCTTACCTCCCAGTTTTGATTCAGCCTCCCCCGGAATGGGATTTGTGGATGCTTCAACAGGATCCAGCTTCACATTTGCCTCCACGATCGAAAAAAAAACATCTTCAACTATTTCCAGCTCCAGATCTGTATTAGTTTCTTCTACGACTGGATTTTTTACTTCCACAGCTTCTAGATCCAGATTTAATTTAGCGACCTTTACGACAAGAGTTTTGGTCTCGAAAGCTTTCAGCTCCACACTTGATTTAGCTGTCTCCAAGACAGGATTATTGTTCTCTGACTCAGCTGTTATAGTTGTTATTATATATAAAATATATTAATCTAATATATTTCAGTGTTAAACTTACCTGCTGCCTCCAGGATGGGATTTGTGGCATCTAGCTTTACTTTTGCATCCTCTTGAGCAACTTCCAGCTGCGTACTTAAATTTAAGTTCGAATTATCGTTTTCATAATTTCCCTTATGACTGGGTTCAGCTGCCACCTCCAGCGGGTCCTCTTCTGCTACTCCTACTGCCTCCAATTGGAGTTCCTCCAACTGCTGTTCCTTTTCTACTCCATCTCCGTCTTCCAACTCCTGCTTGTCTTCTGCTCCTGGTGATTCTTCTTCTATTTCGTTTTGGAATTTAGCTCGCTTGCTGGATTTGCGACTGCGACTGCGATGTCGCTTCACGGAATGACGGCCCACCTCGGCAGCCGTCCACTTGACCACCTCCTCTACCACCACAGCCTGCGCCTTAGAATTCCTGTCCTTTTTCTCCTTGCGTGCGGAGCTCAGCGTATTCCTTTCGATGATGTCCTCATAGTCCAGGGGAGGACGCACGCTCTTCCGGGCACTGCGACGCGGCGTCTCACTTTGACTGCGATTGGTTGTTGTTTTTGGCGTTGCTGGTGCCCCAGCAGTAACCTCATCGAGTATAAATTCACTTTTATCCACCATTTTCTGCTTTTGTCGCACAGAGTTGCGCGTTTTTTTAGCCGCAGGCGTCTTTTTTGCCTCTCCAATCTCCATTTCTGTTTGTAAGTTACATAAATATCAGTTGGCTTTTCTAATTAGTAATTTTTAATTATGCACTTGCCTGTATTTGATGCCATACTCAACTCAAATTCTTTTGCACAAATTATTTTTCTGGCGTCCTTTCTGTGTGGTTTTCTTCGTTGCGTTCAAAATACTAATGTAATCGCAATGTTAGTTAACATGCGTCATTCGCGCGTAAAAATTGATGGTATCGATGCTTGCAACGCTGATCTTGAGTGCCGGGTATCGATAAAAATGCAATCAATTGCTATCTTTTGAATATGAGTGAAGCCGTTTTTGTTTCATTTTTCAGTCAGAAATTTGCGAAAAATTTTAATGAATATGTACAATTTCATTTAAAATTTCACAGAAATAAAGAAAAATAAAAATGGATGTCATAAAAAAGTGCTGTTGTATTTTTACATTCGCGATCAATAACTTATCGCACATGTATCGATAGAAAAATCAATCGGTCGTTTTCTTTTTGAATTAACCATTTAAATTTTATTCAAAGATTTGTTGAAAAATACTATTAAAGAGCTGACACATTTACAAAATAATGACAGTTTTATGATGGCATCAACGACTAGCACGTCAAATAATAATACATGAAATGAACAATAAAATGGCGTTAATATTATAAATGACCTCATAAGGCAGTTTGTGGCACACAATTTCTTAGCACTCTTCAGTTAAGTTAAGCGGTGTATTCTGCCTGCTCAGGGCTAGTTGATAGGCCACCTCAAAGGCTTGGCCCAGAGTCAGTATGATTTCGTTGGCCAACTCCTGCAATGTGAAACAATTAAAGATAACCACAATCGCTTGAAAGGGGACATATTGAAAAACAAACCAAATTGTCAACCATAAAGACATGGCAATAATGTAGATCCTGCTCTTTGGTTATATAAGCGAAGTAACGCATATCTTCCGCATCCTGACAGACACAATTAATGTTCTCGATGTCATGCGAGCAGATGGCAGTCTGCAAAAGTAACACAGGTATAAATAATAAATAAACTAGACTTGAAGCACATTTCATTATGACCAACCTTTGTATCATGATCTATAAACTTCACGCCCAGGCAGGAGGCAGCGATGTCCACTTTGAGACGCGTCTGCAAATTGGCCGCTTTCAGATACTTTGTGGATGTTGTGCAGTTCTCAAGCAGACTAATGTCGCTAACACTCGCCGTGGGCTTGAAGTTCTCATCGATCTTTAGCTTCTGTATTGATTTACGAGTCGAAATTGTTCCCTGCAATTGCCGTATGACAGTCGAACCCAAATACTGAAATAGATTTATTTTCAATATAAATTTTGAATTTATCTAGCTTGATCTTTGTATAGGGCTTATCACTGCTGGTACTCACAAAAACGGAGTAGCGTATTTCGCCGTAGACAAGCGTATATGGCGAATGGCACCAATGCGAAGCTGGACTCTCCTCCGCTTTGCCCAAAAGCAGCTCGACAGGACTGCGTATGTGCAGCGATTGTCTCGGATCTACGACCGGGCAACGTTGTGGTTCCTCCTGCACCTGTTCAACCTCCTCCTCCACCTCCACCTCCTGCTGCTGCTGCTCCTCCTCCTCGTGTCCATCCTGTTCGTATTCCACTGTGGACACTTCATTACCAATATGCTCGAAGATCGTATCGATCTCAGCCCAGACACGCGAAGCACTAAAATCCTCGCCAGTTGTGGAAAAGCGCTGCTTGGACAGACTTCTGCGTTGATTGTTCAACGCATTCACGGATCTCACCATGCTGGGTGACCGCAAGTTCTCACGTGCCACGGATGCTCCACGTCCACCATCCACCATATCCTGTGCCAAGTTCAGTGTTGATCCCTTGAAGAGACCTGCAAATGGCATATCGCCCACAAATTCCTCCACCTGATCCGAAGAAAATGATGTCGTAGACTCCTCAAGAGTTCGTGGCAACACAGGCTGCATGAAATTAAAGATTGTCGTCTCTGCCTCGTTGACAGTGGGTGGCGGATAATCTGGAGTCGGTGAATGTCGCATTATCTTCAGGTTGTTGCTGCTATTGCTATTGTTGTTGTTGTTGCTGCTATTGTTGTTGTTGTTGCTGCTATTGTTATTGTTATTGTTGTTATCAATGCTTGTGTCGGGCAGCAGATTGGCATAGTCAGCGTTTATGTGCCGGCGTGGAGCGGGAATTGGAGATGGCGATGGATCTGGCAGTGTCATTTTCACATAATTAACAATTGGTTGACGAGGAGCCGATGCAGCTGTGAGAAGAAGCAAATAATCATTAAACGTAAGAAGTAAGAATTCGAGATATTTCCTGCCTCTTTGGCTTGGCTATCACATACGACTCCTCAATTGAGAGGATCACATCTACTTACAACTACAACTGTTGGTGGTGCTCTGCTCCTCACTGCTGGAGCCTGTTGTTTTGAGCAGATTGATGTACTCGTAGGAGCGCGAGGGTATTGAACCATTTGAGAAATTATTACTGTCCTGAAGTAGGGCACTCTGGTAGGGCTGCTTGTAGACGGGCTTGTAGCTGATCCACATCTGATCCACACGTGGCTCCAGAGTGTGCACATCATTGAAGGACTTTTGTGGACGGACCGGTTTCATGTCCAAATAATTCGCTGGCGGCCGCGTATAATTATCCAGTGAGCTTAAAGAGTGCGAAAGTCCATTGGTTTGGTCTTGCTTGCTACAGATTCGTAGTTGCAGTTGCAGTTAGTTGGATTAGGTTATGTGGAAGAGAGAAAGAGATCAAATAATGACCGAACCCGTTTTATGAAGGCGCTTCGTACGAACCAACCAACCATTTCCGATCGATGAGTGCTGCATGTGAGTGTGGAGTCGTGCAGGGTGCAAGTTGTGTTGTGTATGAATGCGGGTGGTGCAAGTGCGTGATATTGGATGGTATTGAGTGTGTGGTGGTGGTGGCTTATGCATTCCGGCATGGGGAGCATGATCTGAACAAGCACATACACAAATTAGTGGTTTCTTTAATCATGTTCATGTTGGTTAATTAAGGTCACAATTAAGACACAAATAACAAATAATAATAACAACGACAACAAGACAGCAGCATGTCTGATGTTTGTTTGGGTGGGCGTGGCACATTGTTAGTGTTAGCTTACTTCCTCAGTCTGGCTGGATCATTGTGCTTGCTGGTCTTGTGCCGCTGTGCGTTCTTTTCGAACAGACGCCGGGGCAGCGATTGACCGTTGTTCTCCAAAACCAGATTATTGTTGCTGCTGTTGTTGCTGTGGTTGTTGATGTGGTTGTTGCTGTGGTTAACCAGCTGCGTTTGGTTTGAGCGCAACAGCTGCGACTCGGCCAAATTTGTAAATTCTGAAAAAGCGGAAAGTTAATGTGGGCGTTAGAATTTTCGGTTGATTCCAAATGAGTGTAATAAATAAATTAAGCGACTTACAGTGATCGCTCGCTAAGAATAATAAGAATTTTAAATTGCACGCATCGCCTTTAACATATTTATATATAAATATTTTCTTTATATCCAATCTTTGCGAGAATTTAAACATATTCATAGCTTTCCTATGAAAATATCCCATATCAATATTAGAATTCAAAATGTGGACCACATTTTTCATGTTTGTTTAGAAATAATTGATAGTTTTCTAATTCTTGATATAGAAAATAAAATCACACTTCTTATAAGGCACTAATTCAAAATGAGTGTAATAATTCGTTTAGTGTTCGCTCGCTAATTGGAACTTTTAGACACTAATTCAATTGCCATGAATCAACAGTTTCTGTTTTGGAAAAACGTTTCTTACGCCTCAAACTTTTTAGGTTCTTTAAATTACAAATAGCTTTCGAAAACCTCTGATAATTGGCGGAAAGAAATAATTGTATTTCAAATGTTAGATATTAAAATCAGACACTTTTCAATTTTATAAATCATTAATTGAATTTAAAATTTTAGTTATTAAAATCATAAGTTTTGTACGAAAAAAAATGCAGTTCGGCAAACTTAAATAAAATTGTTATTTTTTCTAGGCGTTAGTTAACAATCATACAATTTAATTAGATTTAAATATTTAAAATAACGCGTTTATTAGTGGTCGTTTAGAGTGTATTAATCACTGTACTTGATCGAAAACTACGAACCGTTTATGACGCCGACAATCTCGTAGGTGACGTGGGGCGGGTAATCGTTGAGTATTTCGAGTGCGGTGCGTCCGTTGCCATCTGTGGCATGTACATCGATGCCCGCCTTGAGCAGTGCAACAACCACAGATTTCTTGCCACACAACGCTGCCTCGTGCAGTGCGCTGCCCGCGTGGGTGAGAATGTTGACGTCAACGCCGGCTGCCAGCAGGGTTTCAACCACTTTCTTGTGGCCATTGCGACTAGCCAAGTGTAGGCATGTGTGCGTGAAGATCAGCTTTGTGGGCGTTGCCGTATATCGATTGGAGTAATCCAGCACCTCGTACGAGCTCTCGTTCTCAACAAACCGCCGATACGGTGCTATCAGATCGGGTGCGACACGTAGAAGCGTTTGCACCACCTGCAACCGGCCAAATTGTGCTGCCAGATCCAAAGCTGTCTGGAAGCTATTGTTGCGTATGGTGGGATCAGCGCCATACGATAAGAGTATGGCTACGACGCTATTATGTCCGTGCTGGGCGCCCGAATGCAGCGGTGTCTCATTCTCAATGGTCTGCGCATTGGGATTCGCCGCAACGGGAGTGTTAAAGAGCAGCATTTTCACAATATCCTGATGACCCGCCCACGAGGCCAAGAAGAGCGGCGTCGATCCGCGTATATCCGGCACATCCACCTGGACATTGTGGGCGAGGATCAGGCGCACAATGCTGCTGTGTCCGTTGAGGCAGGCATGATGCAGACACGTGTAACCATTGACATCCTGGCAATTAATATTCACACTGCGCCGAAAACTAAAATAAACAAATATCAATTACATCTATCCAATTATATAGAATTCTATGATCATTCTCACCTGGACAATGGACCATGTCGCTTGGTTGTCAGCTCGAGCAGCTTGCCAACGGTTACGATGTCGCCATTGCGCGCTGCCTCCAATAAATGCTGATCCTTGCCCATTTGTGTGCTACTTAAAAAAAAATAAAATAAACTTCAGTTAAATACAAATCTTGAAATAAAAACTTTTTGAAAATTGTGACTGTTTAGCGGATATTTACTGTATCACAGATATTGATGCATTGCCGCATTGATATAAACAAATTGCAATGATTTATCAAAGCGCTACAAATTCTTCTTCAGAAGATAATAAAAAGATGTGCGAAATGTTCCACATTCCAATTGGACATTGGACGAGAATTTGAGTCAGCGATTTAATGTGGCTGTTTACCCTTTGCTAGCAATAACCTAATAATACAAATCCGTAAAACTTCGCAAGTAGAATGAAGACGATGATATCACGCACCCGCCCCTCCCCAACCCACCGCACCACACACACCGCCCACACACACACACACACACACACACACACACACACACACACACACACACACACAAACACATACACACACACACCCAGCCTAGCAAGTTAAAACGAGTCGTTCCTCATCATCAGGTGGCCAGTCAGCTGTTTTTTTTTTTTTTTGGCCCCACTGTAAACTCTGCAACAGCAAACAGCAAACGCTCCAGTTCACACACACATACAAATTCACAAATTCCGATTGTGCACATACACACGCAGAGCATGTTTGTTTTTATAGACGTGCTGTATTTAGGGCCTAGTCTTCCAAGGTCATCGCACGGCATTGCCACCCAATTTTACACCCAAAAATAGTTCAACTTCTCCATCAAATTTTGCATGCACTTACCGACTATTGTAGCAAATAACATTTAATTTAGCACTTCTTTATGAATCTTTTAACTTATCCATACGTTAATAGCAAATGACTTGATTTGCACATTATTTATCAAGTCTCCTGTTTTATGTGTTCAAATTGACTAAATATTATTTACTGTACGTGGAAGTGTTTAACGACTGCACATCATCATTAACAGCAGTCTACACAATCAACACAACGAAATCAAATGGAAATGGAACGATCGCTTAACATGCTCTGTTAAACTTAACGAGTGTTAGAATCGAAGAGATTCCTCAGAGTTGGTTAGAGCTCTGTTAAGCAAATACGTTACTACAAACAACAGCGTGTGCAATTTTCAAGATGAGATTTGCCAAACTCATTACTCAATTTATGAAACATGTGCAGAATTAAAAGCAACTTGTGTGATGATGATTGTCGAGCTAAAATATTTGTTCTAATTTGACGTCACTAACGCTTCTACATTGTGAACAGAACTAACATAAGTTATTCTATGCTGTGCGCTCAATTTTGCGTTCTGTTAACGCAGCGTGTATCACGCGCTAGCCATCAATGGTAATCGATATTTGTGTAGTTGTGGTACATCGATGTTTTTGCTTCAGACGCTCGATGCACAAAATTCATTTGGTTGATTTTTAATAAAATTTAATTATACAAATATGGAACAGACTAGTCCCCTGAAGCCCAAGCGAAAAGACAAAACCGAAGGTGAGTGGCAGCTAAAAACACGTAACTTGAATAAGTAGCAAACACACGCGGCTATAGCGTGTACAAATTTACCGGCACAACAGTCAAGTCCAAAGAGCCCCACACACCCCGGTTGTGTGTGTGTGTGTGCGTATGTGTGTATGTGCCTGTGTGTGCTCGCACGTTCGTACATGTGTGTGAGTGGTGTGTGCGTCAGTCAATGTTGCGCGGCCATAAATTAAAATTTAAGGTATGCCCTCCCTTATTTTAAATGCTTAATGCCATGTCATTCATTGTCTTGCCCTTCCAGATGAACCCGAGATGAACTCGACTCAAAGCGAAGAAGGACCTCAAAAGAAATTGCAACGACTCAGTGGTAAGCAGGATGCAGTGGAAGCCAGCGAGGAATTAAGCTTGAACCAGGCTTATCTACAAAAGGATGTCACGCAATGGCTGCAAACAGCGTGGGTTAAACAAGCACCAGCCACAAAAGAAGACAAAACCGGTGCACAAATCTATGGGGAACCATTTCAATTATGTTTTGCTACCCGAACTGCTGGCCGAGGACAGCACCCGATCTCTGGTGCACGAGATGATCAATAAGGTACACTGGTCACGCAAGCAAATGGATCTCTATGAGTTCTATCAGAGCACCGATCTCTCCAATATGCTGGACAGCCGCCTGCTTGCCAATTTCCTGCAATTGCTGCGGAAGCAGGTGCGTCCCTGGCTGGAGGAGGTGACAAATCTGAAGCTTGACTACGTATCCGCCTCGTGCAGCATGTACACTTGCGGCGATTACCTCCTGGTGCACGACGATCTGCTCAAGGATCGTCAGATTGCATTTGTCTATTACATGTCGCCGTGGCAGGGCGTTGAGGAGTGGAACGAGGAGCAGGGCGGCTGCCTGGAGATCTTTGCCAGCGATGATCAGTGCTTCCCACAATTCCCCGTGCAACGCAAAATACCACCGAAAAACAATCAGTTTGCATTCTTTAAAGTTGGCTCACGTTCCTTTCATCAGGTGGGCGAGGTGACCACATACGATTATCCACGATTGACCATCAACGGTTGGTTCCATGGCGCAACCAATGAGGCCTTCGTTGGTGGGGACTCGTCGCGCGCCTTTCCACGCCTCGCCTACCTGCAGCCGGATATTAATAATAGGCCCACGTTGGGCTTGCTACTCAACGATGTCTACCTGAAGGCGGCGACACGTCGCAGCATCCAGAAACGTATCGAGGAGAATTCCGAGATTTGTCTCTATGAGTTCTTTAAGCGTGAAAAATTCGAACTGGCCCGTGCACAATTGTTGAATGATGCGACGCTGACATGGCGACGACAAGGACCCGCCAATGCGCACAACTACGAGCTGATGGATCTGAGCACTGCCAAGGGCACAGTGGAAGAGCTGCTTCAGCTATTTCGCAGCAATGCCATGTTCCAGCTGTTGCGCGACTTTACCGACCTGGATTTGTATGGCGTCGATGCAATAACGCCCACATGCAGCGTTGAACTCCAACGCTGGTCGCATGGCAACTATACCGTGCTGGGCGATGGTTTGGTCAGCGAGGAGAATACCCTGGATTTGGTGTACTATCTGAATGCGGCGGAGGGTGCAGCAGTGATTACATATCTATCACCGGAAGTTGAGCAGCGCACAACACATCATCAAAATGGACTCGACGACCAGAGCATCGAGGAGGCGGAGGACGATCCTGACCAAGAGGACGATGAGACGTGCCAGGATGATTCGGTGTTGCTGACGATATCGCCGGTGGATAATGCGCTGAATATTGTTTATCGCTGCGAGGGCACCACCAAATTCACCAAATATGTGTCGCGCAACACGCCGCTGGACAAGGGACCCGTTTTTGTCATATCCTGCAGCTACAAGGAATAGGAAACCAAGACACATTTATATATATATCCCTCTTCATATGCCGCCACACACACGTACAGGCCACACTATTATTTTGTTTGTTAGACTGGCCAAAATGCACAAGAAACGAAACCTGTGTACAAGCTTTGCATTATACACGTTTGTTTGAATGTTAATTGTATACAAAACAAAGAAAAGAAAAGCAAAAGATTAACTCTTAGAAATGCCCAATAAAGTGATGTATAAAGAAAACAAAAACTGTGCTAATTTTAATCCAACATTTGCTTCCATTCTGTGTCTATATCTTAAGCAACGAATGTTTAACAATTGATTTAATATTGTATTTTCTTTTCTCTCTATTTACAGACAAATATCGCATTGCAGCAACGATTGCGTTCATTGTGGTCATCGTTGGGATTGGCGTGCCGATGTGGTGGAAAACAACAACTGTCTACCGGTTAGTGAGCAAACACTTAATGCAACCTTAATGAAGATTCCTAATGCATATTCTTCACAGCGTCAGTTTGCCTTCGTCGGCTATTCAGCGTTTAAGTGAGCAGCCCATCAAAACAGCTGTCCAAATTGCCATTTATACTCAGGAAACAAATCGCGGACAACTGCTCATTACGGAACTGGAAACCGCATTTGCCGACAGCGGTAAACGCACAGCGTGTTGAGCAATTGGCAATCATTCGGCAATATTTAATAATGTCTTCTCATCATTTAGATATATGGAACGTGGAGTTCAAGCAGCTGTTGCCATTTGCCAAAGCGGCTGAGGTGCATACGCCGGCTGCTCTGGAGAAGCTGTTGCTTCAGGCGCATCCCCAAAGCGTCGGCGATTTCCTATTCATTGAATGGGCAAAGCTCGAGGATGAGCTGCTGCTGACCACGGAACGATCGGCGCTAATGCGCAGCGATGTCAGTGAGTAGCTAGCCAAGAAGCAATCTGCATCTGTGTTAAATATATTATAAAGGGCTAGGTAAGATTAGTTAGTTTAATCGTTTCCTACGTTTTCTTTTTTAGCTTCCACCAAAATAGCGCAGCTGCTGCACTCGAAGATCCTGCAAACGTATCGCATCAATCAGATACTGAGCACTGATGAGCGACTGGGCACCAAATCGGAGGCACCACAGCCCGCCTACGATGTCGTCATATCTGTCCTAAATCCCAAGCCAAGACTCACGTTTGCCCAGTGGAATGTTGCTATGGCTGCACAGAGTATGTTTTAACGCAATTTATATATATAAAATATGTATATTTTGAATTATTTATAATACATTTGAATTTCAGCATATATTGAGCCATTTTTGGCACAGATCTCCGATATATCCAACTATACGGTGCGCACTCAATGGAAATATCGTGTTTCGATTGAGGCGGATCTGAAGCAGATGCGCGATTCAAGCAAACTGGGTCGCCATTATGCATTGCAGGAGTCTTCGCTGCCCCATTTGCTCACTTCGATTGCCCAAAATCTGAGTGGTAGTATTACGGATAAGCCTGTTATCAATTTAGTGGTATATATACCGCCCTGCACCACGGCACCGCTGCATATCTACAACAGCAAGCAAGAGATGCTAACTAAACATGGCGTTGACGCTTTCATTTCGCCGCCTTGGGGCGGTTTCATCATTGCCAATCCACCGGAGCATGTGTGTCTGGCCCATTTGAATAATGAACCGCCAGTGGAATATTATGTTAACACCAATGACAACATGCAGGTGATGCTGGATCAGTTGCACAAGCTGCTGGACATCAGTAGTGAGGTGCAAGTAGCTGGCGTCAAAACGGTGGACATCGAGCAACTCGCTCCAAGACGCTGGGAATATGAATCATATATGAGACGCAGCGCCATTCGCCACATTGCCACGGCCAGCAATACGCTGCAGAGCCTCATCAAACTGCTGGGTAACATCAATTAAATACAATTAATAACACGTGCCCTAAAATACTACCCATAATTAATTGGCAGATCAAATCAGCTACATTGTGATTGACGACAAGGTGGGTGCTGCCATTACCAATTCCTATGTGGACATAATGGCTGCCAAGGTCGCGCTGATCGAGCATCGTCTGGTGGATGCTTCGGCGCTGGCGAAGCGTGCTTTTGTGGCCTCGGAACGCGGCTTCTTTGATGCGAGCCTATTGGCCCAACTCTATTTTCCCGATGAACAGAAATATGCCATATATATACCACTCTTCCTGCCCGTCATGGTGCCCGTGTTGAGCTCTTTTAATATGCTGCGCAAATTGTTGCACGGCCGGCGGAAGGAGAAGCAGCAATAAATGAAACGAGGCGAAACGAAATGATACCAAACTTTTAATTAAACAATTAAGAAGATTCTTTAAACTTGAAGGCTACTCATTTATTTATATTTTGAACATCCAATTGTATGTCATTTATTATGATTTGTTGAGCATAGACTGTAGACGCCAGCGCACACGATGTAAGTGAACAATATTCGTAGCCACATCTTTTTAATTGGTCTAATGATAGATTCCAGTTGCCGATATTGTTGTTGCAGCTGTTTACAAGTATATTTGTCTATAATACCAAAATTTTGATTACTAAATCGAAGCGCTTGCGAAGATTGTAGATATGTATTTGTATCTTGACGCAAAAATGTGTTGATGACTTATTGTTAGTAAGTGCGATATCAGCGCTGCACGGCAATTTTGATGTCAGGGCTGAAAGATGCCACGCATCCCTCCCCTCGGGCTCGAATCCGCTCAGCGTGTGAACATGCCGGCCCGGCATAGGTCAGAAGCGGGACCGAAGCGGGCTGCCACCGCTGCTGCTGCTGATGAGAGTGTCAAAACAGGCAACAAAGCATTGCCAATTTTATTTTATTTTTTTGCAACAAAAATGTTAAATACACTTTCGCAGACAGTTAACTGTTAAACAATGAGCGAGCATGCTCGTTGTGCCGACAATACAAATACACTGACAGATAATACAATAGCTTTTTTTTAGTCGCTTATTCAATGCTTAAATAACAGAAGAAAAAACTTTGAGTGGCGCCTAAGAATTGAGTTTATTTGGTAGTTTTTAAATATACACACAATATAATAATAATATAACTCTCCAAATTAACTAAACTTCAAAATATTTATAGATAGGAGTTCAAACTTGGCAAATATTTAAGAGACTATTATATGTGCATAAGTGTTTGTTGCAAATCTACTTTCGATAGCTTCTACATGACACAGCTCAAAAATAGTGATTTCCATTGTTTTTTTTTTTTCATTTTCTATTGATGGTTACATTTTTGGCCCATGAATTTAAAATATAACAATTCAATACCTAAATGATTTGCAGATTTTTTCAGTAATAAATTATTACTTGGCAAATCTGCAGATTTTGAACAAATTTCGGAATAGTACTCAACATTATGTTTGTTGAGTTATGGTAAAGATATTTACAATTAATTGTTTCTTTTTATTAGTTTAAGATCACTACGATCAAGATTAAACTAAAAAACAAAAAATTTAAATAAGAGAATAACTTGTATGCAACAGAAATATATCATGTCTCCAACAGAAATATATCATCTTCAAAATTGAATGAACATCTGAACTTTCAAAAGCCTGAAAGATAAGACCGATTGATGTCAATTCACTTGCTATTCTAGGACGAAACCTTATTGATTTGTGAAGAAAATAAATCTATGAACATATCCTGCTTGGGAAAGTATTAAAGTATTCATCATTTGTATATGATGCAGAGAATACAACAATGAACATGTAAGGGTACCAATGTTTTGGTAAGGGCATTTAAATTGCATGCGAATGCAAAATGCAAAAATATCAAACAAAAAACAAAAAAAAAAAAAAACATCAAAGCTGAGCTGCTGCTGTCAAAACTCGTTAAACATTGAATTGAATTTAGGTAGGGGATGGATGACAGGGCGGGGTTGGAGGCGAAACGAGCCGCATCGCTATGGACATTAAAAACTTAAAAGTTAATTTTTAATTGCGCACGGCTCGTTGGCTCTGCAGATGGACGGACGGGCCAAAAACTAACAAAAGTAACAACGCACGAAGCGAGTGAATGAGTGCCTATGAATACATACGAAAATATGTGTGTGTATTCAACAAGTATTTGTCTCTTATTCAAAGGTTAAATATTATTTTAATGAGCTCAGCTCGTTGCCTGAAACGAGAGGCATCAGCAGCAATAACAGCGCCAGCAGCAGCAGCAGCAGCAGCAGAAAAAAACCTTTTCTCCAATGTACGATCGCTAAAAAGGTCAACAATGTGACTTTTAACCAACGCCAAATGCCGCCAGCTTGCCAAGTGGCTTTGTGTCACGGCTTTCAAAGACTTTCTGTCCCTGTGCACCAAGGCGGCCCATCATACATATGGCCGAAATGTTTGGGTCCAGCACACTCTGCGAAAAACGTTGCTTTAATCAAGTTCGAATTGGTATCGATTTGTTTTTCAAATTCTAAATAGAATTCTTATGGAATAATAAAAGTTTCTTGATAACATAAATGAGAACACAAACTCTGGAATTAAGTGCAAAATATATCAGAAGTAAAGAGAAATGTTCTAAGATTTAGTTCGTTTATTCTAATTAATTCTTGAATTAATTTTGTCGAATTCAAACTTCTCGTTTTCATTCCCATAAAAATACTTTCTACTTAGATTGAACCTAATCATTTAATATATAACATTGACTGAAAAGTTCTTTGTTGAAGATGTGCAATTCGGTGTTTTTTTGTCATCGAATTCAGTACACGTTTCTGAAACATTTTGTCCAAGTGTAGTTTACTATCTGACACGCCTGCAATTGCGCCGGCCGAAGGGCCTGGGTCTAAATGCATTTCCGGGCAAGATTGAATCAAAATCCATGCCTCCAAAAATTGTTATTGCTTTGGCTGGCCAGCAACACCACAAAAAAAATAAAATAAATAAACAAAAAAAAAATAGATTTCCCACACGCAGGCCCGATCTTTAGCTGAAGCTAAAACCGCACGCACGTAAAAAATCAATTCAGTTTTGTCGATCTGCGCTTAAGAGTTTTTATTTTTTTGGGCAGTCAAAGTTGAAGTATTGTAGTTGATGTTGTTATTGTTGTTATTGTTGTTGTTGTTGGTGCAGTTAGAGTTAGCTTTAAGCCGAAGGCTAACACAATAACGAAACTAATTTTGATGCGGTTGTTAACTATTTCCAAATATTTCAAAAGAAAAATGAGCAACAAATTTGTGGAAAAATATTTTCGGATGGGGCAGTTGATGAAGATGTTGCACTATTGTCTATTGATGGACACTTAAATGCAATTGCCGCAACAATGGCAACAACAAGGCGTATAATTAATAATTGATTGCATTTTATACACAAAATGGTAAATGACAAGGCATAGTTTCTATGCCCAGCAGCAGCAGCTGCAAAAGAATTGAAGAATTTTTCTGTGTTTTGGATCGAAAATGGCACAAAGTACATGGAGTACATGGAGTACCAGGTGTGCCCAATAAGTTGGCTTATATGGCCGCTAGCCAACAAGCCAGCCAGGCACGTAAAAGTCGCATTGCAAAATTACATTGGTGCTGCTGCTCCTGCTGCTGCTGCAATTGTAATCACTATTGACCATAAGTGCAATTGAAGTTGTTGTTGCTGACGGTTTATAGTTTTTCGCTGCATTCCCATCGTTCGGCGTTAAGTGAAATTAATAAAAATTGCAATCAACTTCAAACTGAATGCTACACCAAAAACGTCAACGCGTCTGCGCAATGCACATAATTTGTTTAATTAATTACAGTCAACACATTTTCATTGCCCGACTATTGGCCAATAGTCGATGTGATTTTTCACATAAAAAAAAACTGTAACAAAACTGTAACTGCATTGAGAGCCAAACGCTTTTTGGTCGCTTTCGAAAGATGTTGCTTCGGATGCTGTTGGCGTTGCCGTTGCCAGTTGTTGCTGCTGATGCTGATGCCTCTGCTGCTGCTGCTGCTGCGGCCCGTCAACAACATTCTCAGCATGCGCCAAGGCCAGCGGCATTTTCTGTGAGCATATATGTTGTCTGAGAGTCTGCGACTGTAGACCATCCGAGAATTGTTGGTGCAACTGGAAGTTCAACACTATTGACAACCAGCCACCAGCAACATTTACGGCAAACTTTTGTGAGCGGCAAACAGCAACTTTTGTATTTATATTTAGCATGAGACGCTTTGCATTCGAAGTTGTTCTGGGAATCATGGTGAGCTGCGTGCAACCACAACTGCAGACTCAAGCTGTGAGATAGTGTGTATAACTAAAAGATATTCACATTTTTAATTTTCCATATAATGTATATTCTATCTGAAATAATTTGTACTCAATTTGAGGAAGATTTCTGCTTGTTATCGTAAATATAATTAAAAGAACAAATAAAAAGTATGTGTTTATGTAAAATATATGTTATGTACTAAAGAATTTTCTATGGCCAATGCTTTAAGTAAATTTATAAAAATGTTGTGGCATTTTACATTACTGTAGATTATTGCCAAATTTTTAAGGCCAACTGAAGGCCTTAAAAGACGCATAAAAAAATTTGCATAGATCACTCTTTGATAGTGAAGAAACAAAGCATTTCGTGCGACAAAACAAAAAAGTATTCAGTATCAAAAATTATTGTCGCTTTAGCTTGAGCAATTAAACTATTTGCTTAACGATTGCCATTCAACAGGCCAATAAAAGGTAAGCGAATAACACTGCAAAAAATAAACAAAAAAAAAAATATATATATATATATATAAATATTTTTAGGTTGAGTGGCAGCCATGGGAACGAGAGCTGAGGGCTTGGATGCTGCTGGAAAAGTGTCGATGTTGAGAAGCGGTTTATGATCGTGCTCAAGGACGCTTATAAAACAAATAAAGCGAAATGTATTAAAAAAATATAACTTACCCACCATTTGACATAAATGCCAATTTAAATGCTGCAAAACGCATAAATCAACAAACGAGAGTTGTTGCTGCTGGTACTGTGGTTGCTGTCGTGTTTTAACCAAAACAAACGATCAGCAAGTGGCGCACCTTAAAAACGTTTTTACTGGCAAAAATGTGCTTTGTGCTGATCCGCCAGCAGCAGACGGCAACAACAGCAATTGAAGAAGACACCCGCAACTGCAACAGCGAAAGGCACAGAGTTCAACTCAAGCCAACAATCTACTAATCCATGGGCTTAGACAGGATCTCAGCTAGGGGGTGGTTTGCAAAGTACTTAATCAAAATGAATGGGATATAAAACATTTGTCCAGTCAAATCATTATTCATTTTCTAAGTTCTTTGCATACTTTTTTGTACACTTTAACCAAATATAAAAAATATATGAAATAGAAAGTTCTTGAGTCCAAAGAACTATTCACTT